AAAACTAGGTACAACTCGGTATTTGCTAGATATTTAAAATATATCCAAAAGGTGATGGAATGTTGATCGGCTCGTCAAGGAATTAAAAAAACGCATGCGCTAGAACCCAAAAAACAGCGGATCGGATCGGCGACTTTTCTCGTGACGCTAAAACGTTGGTGGCCGAACCTAGAGGAGCTTAGGTTCACCGAAGCAAATAAAATTTCTAAACGGCGCTTCCAACCAAACAGCGCCAAAAATGGCTGACGCGGGCACAGCAGCGGCCACAGGGTTGCGCCGGGTAGGCACACGAGGGCAGGCTTCCTGGTCCTCAAATCTCGCTCCGAGCATTCCTATGAGTAGTGATTTACTCAGACAGAGCACGAGGCGAGTCCCGTCAGAATTGGGCTCGTAGCTCTCAATTACCGGTCGGCGGTCGTTGCTTCCCTCTCATCCCCTAAAATTAGCGGAGGAAATAGGTGTTCGTGATAATGGCGGCGGTGGCAAAGAAGGGATGGGAGCAGTACATGCTTCAGCTCCAGCTTCATCCGCTTAGGACTAAGGTTCTTTTTTATTTTTCTCGATGAAGAATCATTTGATATTTTGATGGCAGTGTTTCTTTATGTATTGCCGGCTTACAGGCTATCACCGCTGGCGTTTTGGCTGGAATCAGCGATTCTGTGGCGCAGAAACTGTCCGGTCTTCAGAGGATTCAACTTCGGAGGCTTCTGTTGAAAGTAGTAAGCCAGTCAGATCTTTGAAGATTGTTTTTTTTAGTTTGATTGGCTAGCATATTTATATATAGAGTCGGCTGAGTGAGTATGGGTTCATCTGTAGATTTTTTTTTTTTTTGTGATTCTGTGAAGGCGGATTTAAGGAGAGGATATGACAAGGAAATGCAAGGAGTTTGCTTGATAGAATTCAACTGATGAAGAATGAGATTTGTGAAGAAGAGAAGATGATATGGAACTATGTTGCCATGGTTTGGATATTCTCATAAGTAGGGACTTCAATAAATGACAAGACACAACAACCTCAAATTTGACTAAAAAATAGAGTTCTCCTTGACTCTATTACTTTAAAACTCAATTATTATTATGGTTAGGTTTGACTTAACTTGAATAACACAAAATGAACTAGAAATCAACCTGATTGCTATTTGGATCCTTTTTTTTTTTTTTCCATTGTGTCATATTAAGAGTCAGATTCTCATTTACATCTAAGAAAAGAAGATTATTTTTTAATACTTTCTAAGAAAGCCTTTTTAGGTTTGCACACTTTCTTAACATAGGCCGATTATAATACATCTACTTTCTTAACAAGGTCATCATCGGAAGACCCACATTTTATGTGATCAAAGGTGACTCTCTCCAATCTTATCTGCCACTGGAGCCACTCTAACCTTTTCACATATATACTCATTTCGCATTCTATCTCTAAATATAAATTCATTTATTCACTTGAGCATCTTTGTCTTTGCAACACTTAACTTAATTTTATGCTTCTTTTTTCATGACTAGCATTTTACGCCATAAAGTATTACTGTCTCATCACTATCTTATAAAAATTTTCCTTAAGTTTGAGGTCTACTTTTTTATCACACAACAAACTCGATGCATTCCTCAACTTCAACTATTTAACTTGAATTCTACTAATAAAATTCCTATCTATTTTACCATAGCTTTGAATAATAGACTTGAGATATCTAAAGCATGCATTGTTTTTAATTATTTGATGATCCAATATCACAATCCTACCATTAGATCTATTACTACTAAAATTACACACTATGTATTTGATTTTAGATCTACTAAAATGAAAATCTTTAGACTTAAGGTTGAACTCCATAATTCAAGTTTTTCATCAACTCCCCCTCTAGTATTATCAACAAGAAAAAATATCATCAAGAAAAAAACATATACCAAGGCTAATACATCAACCCCCTTCATAATTTTGTGATTATGTGAAGGCGAATTTAAGGAGAGGATATGACAAGGAAATGCAAGGAGTTTGCTTGATAGAATTCAACTGATGAAGAATGAGATTTGTGAAGAAGAGAAGATAATATGGAACTATGTTGCCATGGTTTGCATATTCTCATAAGTAGGGGCGTCAATAAATGACAAGACACAACAACCTCAAATTTGACTAAAAAATAGGGTTCGCCTTGACTCTATTACTTTAAAACTCAATTATTATTATGGTTAGGTTTGACTTAACTTGAATAGCCCAAAATGAACTAGAAATTAACCTGATTGCTATTTGGATCCTTTTTTTTTTTTCATTGTGTCATATTAAGAGTCAGATTCTCATTTACATCTAAGAAAAGAAGATTATTTTTTAATACTTTCTAAGAAAG